AGATTTACACGAAGTTTGGATTGAGGGGTAGACTACCTCAATTCATATCTCGGTTTTTAAATAACAGACAATTTCAAGTTAGGGTGGGTTCCACACTGTCTGACTATTTCAACCAAGATCAGGGCGTCCCCAAAGGCAGCATCCTGTCTGTCACACTTTTTAGCATAAAAATTAACAGCCTCACTAACGTTCTGAACAGTTCCATTGACGGGTCCCTTTTCGTGGATGACTTCAATATTTCATGTCGTGGTAAGAACATGCACGCAATAGAAAGGCAGCTACAACACTGCCTTAACAAAATCCAAAAATGGGCCAATGAAAATGGTTTTACGTTTTCAAAATCTGAAAACAAATTGTATTCACTTTTGTAAGTATAATACAAACCACACAAGGATCAGGACCTAACTTTAGATGGTACTCCCATCAAGGTAGTAGAAGAGGCCAAATTCCTTGGACTCATATTCGACCGCCACCTGACATTCTAACCACACATAAAATATTTGAAAACCAAGTGCTTGAAGGCTCTAAACTTGCTAAAAGTAGTCTCTAAATACAGAGGGGAGGGGATCAGACCACCCTCCTTCACTTGTACAGATCATTAGTTCAAGAGTAAACTAGATTATGGCTCCATTGTCTACGGTGGAGCCTGCAAAAGCAATTTAGAAAAATTAGACTCTATCCACCACCAAGGGCTGAGGCTCTGCCTGGGAGCTTTTAGGACCTCTCCGGTAGACAGCCTATATGCGGAGGCTAATGAACCTTCACTTGAACAACGCCGCATTAAACTCTCACTGCAGTATATCACTAAATTACGTTCAAATGAGTCCAATCCAGCATACAATTGTGTTTTCAACCCGTTCTAGGAAAACTTATTTCCTAAACTGCCAAGCCTGGTCCCACCACTTGGAATCAGGATCAAACCACGCATATCTGCAGCTAAAATTGATCTCAACATCATTGCACCATACCGACTTCTGTCCTCACCACCATGGCAAATGGTGAAACCACAGGTCGATCTTACCCTCACCAAACTCAAAAAGTCTGAAACAAATCCCTTGGTCTTCCAACAGGAATACAACCAGTTACGTTCGAAGTATAACACTCACAGATCCATTTTCACAGACGGATCCAAGGACGATCGCCAAGTTGCCAGCCCTACAGTCATTGGATCCAAGACTGTCTCCTCTAGGATCCCCGACAACAGTTCCATTTTCACCGCTGAAGCCAAAGCTATCTTCTCAGCTTTGACCTACATTCAACAGCAAAATCAGTCAAACAATTTCATCGTATTTACAGATTCATTATCCTGCCTTCAAGCACTTCTAAACGTGACATCAAGTCACGCAATCATCATGGACATACTAGAACTGTACAACGACCTTTCTACTGGCCAATATGACATCGTCCTCTGCTGGTTGCCGGGTCACGTCGGCATAGCAGGTAACACTAAGGCCGATGCTGCAGCAAAAGCAGCTCTTGAAAAGCCCCTATCTCCACTGCTAATCCCGTACAGTGATTTCAAACCCACTATCAGAAGCTATACTCGGGACCTGATGCAAAAAAGGTGGGACACTCAAGTAGGAAGAAACAAACTCCATGAATTGAAGCCAACAATCGGTTATACCTACTTGGGATGCCAGTCAAGACGTGATGAAGTAATTTTGCGATGATGTCGTATTCGCCACAGTCGATTTACACATGACTATCTGCTATAAACGGATGGGGATGGACCCCCCATATGTCTCTCCTGCGATGAGGCTTTCACCGTCAAGCATATTCTGCTTGACTGTGTGGACTTTTACATTTGCAAGGACTCGCATTATCACGCAACCAATCTAAAAGATCTGTTCTCCAACGTGAGCGCTCATCTGATACTGAACTACCTGAGGGAAGTTGATCTATATCATAAATTGTAACTGTGTAATGTCACTAACGAATTTACCTGCTTTTCAATTTAGTGCTATGCCATTCTGTTCCAAAATGACAATGTAATGAATGTGTTTCTTTGAAACGAAACCACTTTGTACTTGCAATGTATATTAATGCAGACTTGTTCTCGTCACTATATGGCTGGAATAATGCCGATGTGACGTAAAGCCCAACTCAACTCAACTCAACTCTAATGTGTAATGTCACGTAACATATACATCTTGTCTCACATAACTGATTCCTGTTGAGGTAGGCTAGTTGTGGTAGCAACTATTAGGATATGCAATAACGAAGTAACACAATGGACAGTCCAGTTTGGAAATCCATGATATGTTGAAGAAATAGTCAGCATTTATGTATGCTACACGCAGTAATATGAATGACCATTTGCTTCAGGAACTAATTAACTAATGCCTCTGTAAAGGTTTCATAATTGTTCAAATTGAACTGTTAAGGACAAAAATGAAGTCCGTTGCAGTTTATTATTTTGACTTATGTCAACCTTGCACGTGTTTGTTACAGGTGTCTCTGGTGGGCAGGGTTACCCTCATCTTTTCGCCTGGTATCATCACTGTGTGGATCGTTATTCATTGGCACATCGGACGCGTACAATTGTCTTTTTGGAAGCAATTTGTAATGAATACAGAAAGTACGTTTGTATCATTTCAGGCTGACTACATCAACATCTCCCGTTCATTCCCCTGCTGCTTATGTCAACACTGTCAAAACTGAGACTTGGGACATTTAGGAGATAAACATCATGTGTTGGCGAAATTTCCGGGTGTTATTGAGTATTTGAAGCACGGAAATTCATTTGGAACCGACTGCCGGAAATTGGCCAAAACGTGATGTTAATCGACATTGTCAACACAAAAGTCATTTACCAAAAGGTCTATACACGTTTTTGTGTCTGCACTCATTGACATCGAGTACGGGCACAGCAGTGAAATGTCATCAGCCGGCCGTTTCGGCTGTCTCCCTTGGTAGCATCTGGAACTGCTCATTTGTGACGTCACTCAGACTTTACTTCACAATATGATTTGAATGACGTCACCACAGCTGACTACGTAATAATACAATGGTGTGAGCGTAAGCTGGTTCCTGGCTCCCTCTGCGCGCGTAACCTTGCGCCAAAGCTAGAAACCGGTATAGGCTGCCATTTAAAACGCTCTGCTCGTTTATTTGACGTCACATCCGGATTGGTCAAGCTGGACTCCGTCGCGCTGAAAGATCTGGGAATCATAAGACTTGAAAAGTGAGCGTTGTGCGAGAATTGCGCTTGCATGGTCTATAAAATTAGTTTGGCTATAAAATTACATAGAAATGTAGAATACTATTTTTTTTCTATCCGTTGGTATAAATATAAATGCACCTAACTCGGCGGTTTTAGAAATAAACACTGTTTTTTTGTTATGCGTTAAAAAACAATAAATGTCTCCGCTTTTGATCGTGTACCGATTCAAGCACTGTGCTACGATTTTTTTTCAATTTGGCATCTTTACGGAAAGTGTGAGCAAAGAAAATACAGCCTGACATCTGAACGACATAAGCATGTATGAAATGGGTTTGTGTGCTTATGCATAACGTTATACGCTCAATCTTAAAAATGACTCGTAATAAATGTTGAAAAAGGATTTTGTTCTATGAAGTCAAATGACGACAGAGAGGCGATACACGTATAAAGATAAGGGGTCATAACTCCGATATGCTTAACATTCGATCATGTTTTTCAACCAGTCAGATTAAGGAACACATTGACTTTTGGTTTACAATTCCAAGTGGCCCCAAAAAGCATGTCGTTGTTATCATCCGAGTGTAGCAGACCAGACCCCTCCCTCACAAAAACCTGCCACAAATACCTGTTCCCATTCCAGTGCATATATCAGTGTGTTTGTACAACATTGGTTTTCTATTTCTTCAAGGGAATATATCAGGCGAGCCAGAAACAACTGTAATAAAACAACAGCATTCTACTGCTTCATTTGTGACCAGTCACTGATGTTAACTGAAAGTTCAGGTCTTAAAACATCTCGTCACACTATTCACCATCAGTCATACACCCTTTCGTGGATAGACCTGTGAAGACCCGGGTTAGAACTGATCTTCAGTAACCCATGCTTGTCGTAACATGCAACTAACGGGATGGGTGGTCAGGCTCGCTGACACATGTCATCGTATCCCAACTGCGTAGATCGATGCTCATGCTGTTGATCACTGGTTTGTCTGGTCCAGACTCGATTATTTACAGACCGTGTGGCGTAAACCTAAACTCACGCGGTCACTCACTTTTCATGTGTGACGTGTGTTGGTGTACTGGATACATTTCCTTTCACTCTATGCGTGTTTGTGTTTTAGTCTAGGTCTTGACTTGGTTCCGTTTTGAGAAACGATATTACATTATTTCTACTTGTGTAGGAGAGTATTCGTTTGTGTGTTGACAAGTACATTCACTATACCACCAAGAGAAGACCCAGCGGGTTATAAATGTAACATTATGATTGTTAGGGAAATGACTGTAGCCACATCAGCGCTCTGAGAGCATGTACATTACAGCAAGAGAGATAACTCGGGCAAGGTTTGTTACACCACACTCGCTGCTGACAGTGCACTGTGAGTGTTCCACGCTCATTGAACAACAGTCGTTGGAGCACTGTCACTGTATGTTGAAACTGTTGATCGTGGTGAATGATGCAAGGGAGACTACTCCGTCAGATAGCGCTCCACTACACTGGTAGTAACAGGCCACAGACACCTCACATGCGAGGTGCGGCTTTTTTTCTGTCACACTGTCACTATACCGGACGTATTCTCATGCTCACTGTGTACGGTGCAAGGGAGACTACTATGTGCGCCAACCATGGTTTACTTTACATGCTGCCTCACCTCACAGCTCAAAACTAGTAATCGAGGCACTTCCCCTCAGACATCCGCTATTGTAACTGACCTTTATACAACATATTTCGTGTCCATGTTCGAATGCAGTCACTCATGTTTGGAGGGCAGAGTTCCCTGTGGCTCTTGGTGATGTTCAGTACATTCCTCGTGTGACATGACGCTCATGGACAGTGTGGCAGTTGACACGGCCGTTAGGTTGTCACAGCTTAAATGTACAAGGAAATATTTCACTCATTTTGAGTTGTACAATTCACATGGTTCATAATACAAACAATATTTAGTTTGGAGAAGACAAATAAAAAAAGCTGCTGGTGTCTGTAGGTTTAGTTTCACAGTGTATTCGGTTTGTGAATCGTTTTTTAGAAGTTCATTCCCTGCTGTTTCATCTCATATTTCTTTCATATCAGCAAACAGTCGATCTCGGTCAGTGACCATTCCTATGCTTGTATTCTGTGTGGAGTAACTGACACCGGAACTCCATCAGACTGTTCAGTTGAGATCAGGTTGGTTGATAGCTGTTCCCAATTATATTAAGTGTAGAAAACCTGTAAGCAGTTATGTGATACGTCGTACGACACGATCTACACCTTACGATTATTTAATATAAAACTGACTATTAATTTAACAGAATAATAGATTATACGATGGTGGGATGGCGGTGTGTGGGGTTGGGGGTCGGGTGGATTGTTAGTGTGTATCTTTGTGTGTGATGTGTCTCCAATGTCCAGCTACACAGTAGTGCGTAGGTTTGCGATTAGATTTCCAATCATAAGTACTCAATATTCCGCATTGTGTTGTATCAAATAATAAATACTGTTTTGTGGGTGCAGTGGAGGTGCAGTTAAACCCCAGCAACATCACACTGAATGAAGGAAGACATTACACACTGTGTAGCTATTGTACCACGGGTCGGTGGGGTAGTCCAGTGGTTAAAGCCTTCGCTCGCCACGCCGAAGACCCGGGTTCGATCCCTCACATGGGCACAACGTATGAAGCCCATTTCTGGTGTCCCCCGGCGTGATATTACTGGAATATTTCGTTTCGATAAATGGATATTATATATGCAACTGATATAAGACGTCATGCATCAACCAAGAAGGCTTGTATTCGGTCTTCTTCGGACCCTATTTTGATACTGAACTTCATATTGTACTATTACATTGCGGCTACAAGTCCTTCATATCCTGCCTTCACGCTCACCCTCAAATCTAGTGCATGTTTGTACAGATGCCGTCATTTAGAATCTATCTTTTACATTAATGTTAAAAACTATAATGTCAAAATAAATATATGGGTTTACTACAGATTCCCACGTGTAGATTGGACACAGGGTTTCCGTCAAAATGAGTCTCCTGGTGACATACTTCAGGAACATAGTATGTTAATGTGTAAGTGTATGTGATAGAGACTTTCGACAGTCTGTCAGAAGTACTGTCACACAATATTGCTTATCGGTTAGACTATCCAGCAGATTCATGTGAAAATATCCGTGTTTTGAATTTGACAACACCATCAAAATACGTTCACAGCGTTGTCTCGAATGACAGTTAACAGAGTGTGGCGTTATACAACCAACCAACAAACAGTTGGTTACTATTAGAAAATCTCTGTCTCTGGCCATACAACATTGTGTGTAGGGCTGGCAACGAAATTGCCGGGAACGATTTGGAGAATGTGAAGACTCCCCAAGACTTCCCAAGAATTTCAGAAAGGCTACACTTGCTACCTGCGAGGAACCTGGATTTACATCATCCCTTCAGCAGTCAGCAATTGAGACAAATCTAGCCATACATTTAAATGACACATATTTACATTTGAAAAAGGGGTAAGATAAAATTTATGGATGAAAATTATTCATTAATGAAACATGTGCAACACACTCACGTACATAAACTTGAGAGCACTTTATGTCTGCGGGCATTTGTCATGTTTAACATTCAACTGCAATATGTACAAACCCAAAATAAACTAGTGTCCAAAAGAAACGATACCTCGTATTTGAAAGGACAGTGAAGAAAAACAAAAAGATAACGAAATTTTAGATTGGTACATTTTATTTGAGAATTGATTCAGTAACATGTGTACAAAAATTCATTTTAGTCAATCCTTTATAATCATTAGGACCGGCCTGTAAAGACGTGATGGGGCCAAACTGAAAATTTCATTCAGAGACACCGAACGAGGCAAGTGTGGACAATGTCACGTCTCAAAGTCACGTTAGTACCGGGTCTGTCCACTGTGAGCATCAATACACGCCAGTACACCTCTGCGGGATGATGACGTTGAACGTCGGATGACGTTGGGGGTGATGCGTTGCCATTCATCAAGAAGGCATTGTCCCAATTCCCTGATGTTGACTAGGGGCACAAGGCGATTTCTAAGTTGGCGATCGAAATGGTCCCATAAGGCTGTTGTTGGATGACTAGCTGACAAATTTCATCTTGATAACGCTGTGGATTCATGTTTCCTCGAATAACGACGAGCCTTGTTTTGGCGTCAACGCATATTCCACCCCAAACCATTAAATCTCCGAATGGCCGGACTTAATGAATGCAATTCTGTGCCAAACGTTCACCACATGTTCCGTACACACGCTGCACACCATCGCTCTAGAAGATCCAAAATCTTCTCTCGTCGGAAAACATGAACTGTGCCAACGTCGAAGCAGTTTTATACAGTTGAACTGCGCGTTCATTTCGTGCTACGAAACTCAACATCGTTTTAGTAAAGTGCGCGTTTACGCGAATGCGTTTGGTTTGGAACAAGCATGTTTTCATACGAAAATGAGTACTTAATCAAAAAATACATGAAAAATGCTTGGTGTCGTTCCTTTTGGACATCAGTTTATGTGGGATTTTTTGCAATGGATATAATTTGTGTTTATCTATGCGGAACTTCATTCAGGTGATTTATCCACTTCCTTTTTAGTTCACTAGAAGGACATATAGCTGGAACCTGGCTTCGCTCAGTTCAAAACGAAAGAGAAGTAAAATCTTCCTGAAAATAGAGATATCCTTTAGTATCACTGTCAACGTGACACGACACCAGTGAGGCGCAGGGCTGTCCATCAAGCAGGGGGACACACGACACCAGTGAGGAGCGGAGCTGTCTATCAACCAGGGGGCACACGATGCCAGTGAGTGGCGGGGCTGTCTGTCAAGCAGGGAGACACACGATACCAGTGAGGAGATGAGCTGTTTCTCAAGCAGGGGGAAACACGACACCAGTGGGAGTCGGGGCCGTCTATCAAGTAGGGAGACGCACGAGACCAGTCAGGGGCAGAGCTGTCCATCAAGCAGGGGAACTCAAGCAACATAGAGAGTGCACTCTTTTGAACTGCAGCAAGGTATGCATTTCTGTACGATAATCAGTTTTTACTATTGTACAATACTTGCTGTGTAACGAGGATCGTTACTCTATTCTGTATGGTAGTTCATTCTGACTTGTACGGTAGTATTTTTGTTTTGATTTATCAATGAATTACGTTGCTATGTTCGTCTAGTATACTTTACCTTACAGGCTGGTGTGTCGTTATGCATGTATTGAAAAATGTTCATCAGACTCCAGAATATTACTCCACTGTACACTGCGTGGGTCTCACACATGTATGTGTTTGTTTTGTTTCGTTTGTCAGTGGCAATGGATAGGAGGTAGTCTCACAATATTATGTTCCATATTTTAAGATTCAACACGGGAAAAGGAAGACCTCACATGCTGCAGTGTTTCTGGTTCTCACTGGCGAGTAATTGTAAGTTATATCTAGAGGGTATCAGTGAACGAGGATGTACGCCATGTAATGGTCCCAGTCTGACAAGTCACCGTGCCTGACATCCCTGTTATCGTCCTGTGTGGAAGGCCAGGCATGCAATACTGTTACTACAATGGCCATGATTGTCTGACGATGAAGTATTGGCGCAAACACCGTGAATACTTTAAACATCAGTGATGTGATCTTTTAATGGGATGCTAGATCCGAGATTACAAACGATTGTGAAGCAAGGACATATTTCGATACACAACACGCCGACAATCATAGTTCATATGGATGTAATGTTCGGATATCATGATGTAGTGTTATTACGAATTATTAAGTGGGGACGCCGCACTCAGCAATATTCCAGCAATATAGCGGCGGTCTGTAAATAATCGAGTGTAGAGTGTGAGCATCGATCGTTATTCGCCTCTTATGACCAGCGTGGGTTATTGAAGACCAGTTCTTTTGTTCACGGGTAGGAAACCGAAATCCCAACCAACAAACCAAAAGGATTATACGGATATGCTCTGGGCATTATCCCAATCACACCATGTTATTGGCACCTCGAGTATCATGTGGAGAGACGATTCTTTAGTATTATCTTTAGTCAACGTCAACACGATTGCTGATATGTGATAAAAATGTCTTATTTGTTTGCATTTCGAAAGGCATTACATAAAGGCATGATATATAACAACCAGTTGGGAGGCTGTATAGGTTAGACAATAATGACTTTGAATACTGCTTACTCGAGTGGTCAGGTTGATGCATGCCATCGTATCCTAGATGCGTTAACAGATGTTCATTATCTGGCCCAGAGTCGATTATTTTCAGATCGCCGTAATATTGTTGGAACATGGCTGACTTCATCTTTAAACAAAGGAAAACAAATCAGGAATACTACGCCGCTAGTGGACGCGCCCCTTTTCTCAACAGTGCGCGCGCACGCACACACACACACACACACACACACACACACACGCCCACACACACACACGCTGTATCCGCCCCTGATTTGATACATAAATAACTGATGTTTGTTGGAAGGAGCTCTGTTGACAGAGGAACTGCTTGTTGCATGTACGTCTGTTGAACAGTCTCAGCAGCTGCTCGGCACCTGCAGAAGAGGGACTGGGTTCCTCCCCTTGACTGGGCTCGGTGTGACGAGCTTGTGCGGCAGTGTAAGAACAACCTGTCCGTGGTCGGGGAGATACTGAATGGTCAGGGACTCAGCACTTTGATCTCTGGCGGCGCCTTGACCATCAACTGCTCGTGAGTAGAACAAAGGAGGTTAAATACACTAAAGGCACACAAGGCGGATACTAATTAGAGTCGACCTATCCTTTCCTCGCAAATGTCTATCCACCCACTGCACATGGACGCATTGATCGTTGTGTTCTAGGAACCGCTTTACACTAACCCCTATATCCTTGTTATAGTCGGAAAAACGAAGAAAGCGATAAGTTGCACTGGAGTTTAAACACAGTCCCTGAAAACTATTACTCAAGTGTTCTTACACACTGATGATCCGTGAAGATCCGGGTAAGAATTGTTCTTCGGTAACCCATGCTTGTCGTAAGAGGCGACTAACGGGATCGGGTGGCCAGGCTCGCTGACATGGTTGACACATTTGCGTAGATCGATGCTCATGTTGTTGATCGATGGATTGTCTGGTCCAGACTCAAATATATAGCGGGGACATTGCTAAGTGCGGCGTAAAACTAAACTCACTCACTCACTTACACATTGATGATAGTATTTAGGACACTGCGATTTGGAACCGAGAAAATAGCAGTTTCAAAAACAGGTGGACGTGTTATTTTGTCAGTGATGGACAATGTTTTCTATTGATGCGACATTATACTAGAGAAATGTTTGAACCCTATTTACTCTAAGATTCCATTGTATTAACTGAATTTGCAGAGTGTGTTGTGGGAATGGCCAGAGAGAATTGTCTTGGCTATTTCAAGGGGTCGACAAGATGATTTACACAGAAAGGGAGATTCTGTCATCTCCACTTGGACTATTTCACGGCCTAAACTATGACGTAACCTCTGACTTCAACTGGTTTCAGGGAAGAACCTGTTTGCATCCAAACCCACCTGAGTAACACAGTAGAATGTTCGGTGTCTGGAGCGACCCCAGAGCTGATGGGGAACATGACTAGGCTACAATACAACTCCTTCTTGGACAACTGTCATTACTTCATGTAAGTCAGTTCTTAGATGCGAGCTGCTAAAATAAGGATATATATTTCTCTGAACACTTCAGGCTCATAATGTTTAGAGTATTCAAATGCTTTAGTGCTACACGGCTGGCAGAATATCAACTTACAATGAGCATTTACTTAGTACTAGTACTGAGTGTTAGTACTAAGTTAAGTTAGTTTATCAACAGAAACATCTTTCTAAAGTCTAAAGTTTCAGTCAGTGACAGCTAGGCGGGGAGCCCAATCTATCAGCACTCCTTAAGCTAGGTGTTGCCTGAAGTTTTGGTTACCAGCTAGTGTAGTAGTGTCTCTTTCAAATACGTGTTTTACAAATATCAATCAAGTATGAGTTCAGTTACCATTCGAGTTCTGTTTGTTACATATTTTTTAAGTTTCTATAGTTTTATGACTTTTTGTTGAAGCGGTGAGTGATATGATTCTATCTGCAATTTGTAGGTTTTCTTCACAAGCTGAACTGCTAAGCCTGAAACTACTGAAAGGTTAGTTTGGATGACGCTGCTTACATGTACATCAAATACAGAGTAGACACTATCCAGCGGAAACTGTGTATGTCTCTTTGGTATCATTTCAATACATTACTCATGTCACTGTCACCTCTTGTTTCAGGGAGTGAGCTTGTGCGGATACAGTTGTTCCACTGTGGTGAGATTCGAAATCGGAAACTATCAAGACTACTGACTTACGAATAAATGAAAACTCACATTGTCTCCCATATTGTTGTTATTGTGTTTTACAGATAACGATATTCAGACAGACGGGTATCTCATGATTACATGACATTTGTATTCAAACGTATATATACTGTGGGAAAGCAACATGACAAGTATTCCTGTATTCATCTTCCAAGTTTCTTCGCTGGCTCTGTGGTCAGGGTAACTGACTTGACTGACATGGCCACCTGTCATCTTTTCCGAATTAGGAATATTGCTGCTCATGATGTCAATCACTGGAATGTGTGGTCCAAATGTGATTATTTATTGATCGCCGTCATATAGCTGGAGCATTGCTGATTGTAGCGTTAAACAACAAACAAACAAAACAAGCCTAATGCTCATGATGTCAATCACCGGAATGTATGGTCCAAATGTGATTATTTAACGACCACCGTCATATAGCTGGAGCATTGCAAAGTGTAGCGTTAAATAACAAACAAACAACACAAGCCTTATGGTCATGATGTCAATCACTGGAATGTGTGGTCCAAATGTGATTATTTATTGATCGCCGTCATATAGCTGGAGCATTGCTGATTGTAGCGTTAAACAACAAACAAACAAAACACAAACCTAATGCTCATGGTGTCAATCACCGGAATGTATAGTCCAAGTGTGATTATTTACAGACCACCGTCATATAGCTGGAGCATTGCAAAGTGTAGCGTTAAATAACAAACAAACAACACAAGCCTTATGGTCATGATGTCAATCACTGGAATGTGTGGTCCAAATGTGATTATTTATTGATCGCCGTCATATAGCTGGAGCATTGCTGATTGTAGCGTTAAACAACAAACAAACAAAACACAAGTCTAATGCTCATGATGTCAATCAGTGGAATGTATGGTTCAAGTGTGATTATTTACAGACCACCGTCATATAGCTGGAGCATTGCAAAGTGTAGCGTTAAATAACAAACAAACAACACAAGCCTTATGGTCATGATGTCAATCACTGGAATGTGTGGTCCAAATGTGATTATTTATTGATCGCCGTCATATAGCTGGAGCATTGCTGATTGTAGCGTTAAACAACAAACAAACAAAACACAAACCTAATGCTCATGATGTCAATCACCGGAATGTATAGTCCAAGTGTGATTATTTACAGACCACCGTCATATAGCTGGAGCATTGCAAAGTGTAGCGTTAAATAACAAACAAACAACACAAGCCTTATGGTCATGATGTCAATCACTGGAATGTATGGTCCAAATGTGATTATTTATTGATCGCCGTCATATAGCTGGAGCATTGCTGAGTGTAGCGTTAAACAACAAACAAACAAAACACAAACCTAATGCTCATGATGTCAATCAGTGGAATGTATGGTCCAAGTGTGATTATTTACAGACCACCGTCATATAGCTGGAGCATTGCAAAGTGTAGCGTTAAATAACAAACAAACAAAACAAGCCTAATGCTCATGATGTCAATCACTGGAATGTGTGGTCCAAATGTGATTATTTATTGATCGCCGTCATATAGCTGGAGCATTGCAAAGTGTAGCGTTAAACAACAAACAATCAAAACACAAGTCTAATGCTCATGATGTCAATCACAGGAATGTATGGTCCAAATGTGATTATTTACAGGTCGCCGTCATATAGCTGGAACATTGCTGAGTGTAGCGTTAAACAACCAACAAACAAAACACAAGCCTAATGCTCATGATGTCAATCACTGGAATGTATGGTCCAAGTGTGATTATTTACAGACCACCGTCATATAGCTGGAGTATTGCTGAGTGTAGCGTTAAACAACAAACAAGCAAAACACAAGCCTAATGCTCATGATGTCAATCACCGGAATGTATGGTCCAAATGTGATTATTTATTGATCGCCGTCATATAGCTGGAGCATTGCTGAGTGTAGCGTTAAACAACAAACAGAACACAAGTCTAATGCTTATGATGTCAATCACCGGAATGTATGGTCCAAATGTGATTATTTACAGACCACCGTCATATAGCTAGAGCATTGCTGAGTGTAGCGTTAAACAACCAACAAACAAAACACCAGTCTTATGCTCGTGATGTCAATCACTGGAATGTATGGTCCAAGTGTGTTTATTTACAGACCACCGTCATATAGCTGGAGCATTGCTGAGTGTAGCGTTAAATATCAAACAAACAAAACACAAGTCTAATGCTCATGATGTCAATCACCGGAATGTATGGTCCAAGTGTGATTATTTACAGACCACCGTCATATAGCTGGAGCATTGCTGAGTGTAGCGTTAAACAACCAACAAACAAAACACCAGCCTAATGCTCGTGATGTCAATCACTGGACTGTGGTGCAAATGTGATTATTTACAGACCGCCGTCATATAGCTGGAGCATTGCTGAGTGTAGCGTTAAACAACAAACAAACAAAACAAGCCTAATGCTCATGATGTCAATCACTGGAATGTATGGTCCAAGTGTGATTATTTACAGACCACCGTCATATAGCTAGAGCATTGCTGAGTGTAGCGTTAAACAACCAACAAACAAAACACCAGTCTTATGCTCGTGATGTCAATCACTGGAATGTATGGTCCAAGTGTGTTTATTTACAGACCACCGTCATATAGCTGGAGCATTGCTGAGTGTAGCGTTAAATATCAAACAAACAAAACACAAGTCTAATGCTCATGATGTCAATCACCGGAATGTATGGTCCAAGTGTGATTATTTACAGACCACCGTCATATAGCTAGAGCATTGCTGAGTGTAGCGTTAAACAACCAACAAACAAAACACCAGCCTAATGCTCGTGATGTCAATCACTGGAATGTGGTGCAAATGTGATTATTTACAGACCGCCGTCATATAGCTGGAGCATTGCTGAGTGTAGCCTTAAACAACAAACAAACAAAACACAAGCCTAATGTTTATGATGTCAGACACTGGGTTACCTGGTCCTGTTCTTTTATTTACAAACCGTGGGGCGTTTTCCTGGAGTTTAATCTACATATGAAAATAATAAGTACTGGATACATTTACCTAAAAATATTTAAACATCTTTGTCATGACTACTGTGACAAATGTTGGTGAACGGTGAGATGTATATGATTTTACAACACTTTGGCAGTCCGAGAAGCGTGTCCAATTCAGAGTTACTTCCCCTAGATCGTCATGACAGTTTCGCTTAATTTATTGTAGGCTACACTATAGACAGGTGACAACAACGTACAACACAATTCTTGTGTGTGTTTTCTGCACAAATAAATAAAAAATACAGGTTGCATTTTTTTGGAATTGATCATAAAAAGTGTTATACTCACGTGTACTTAAAATATTCTAATCGTAGCTCAATTTCAAATGTATTTCTACCATTGATGTAACGATTCGTGAAGTCTGAACTTGGAACTGTTACACATCTCATCTAAATCCTCTTCAGGAAATAGGTGTAGAAGCCGTTATCAAACCCATTTACAAAGACCTGATTCTTGACACCATGCAGTCATTATGGTTGTTCGTCTTCCTCCAGTGTTTGTCATTATGGTCCTTCATGTACCTTCATTGTTTGTCATTATGGTCCTTCGTACACATTCAGTGTTTGCCATTATGGTTCTTCGTACACCTTCAGTGTTTGTCATTATGGTCCTTCATATACCTTCAGTGTTGGTCATTATGGTCCCCCGTATACCTTCAGTGTTTGTCATCATTGTCCTTCGTATACATTAAGTGTTTGTCATTATGGTTCTTTGTATAAATTCAGTGTTTGTCATTATGGTCCTTCATATACCTTCAGTGTTTGTCATTATGGTCCTTCGTATACCTTCAGTGTTTGTCATGATGTTCCCTCGTATACCCTTAGCATTTGTCATTATGGTCCTTCGTCTACCTTCAGTGTTTGTCATTATTGTTCTTCGTATACCTTCAGTGTTTGTCATTATGGTCCTTCGTATACATTCAGTGTTTGCCATTATGGGCCCTCGTATACCTTCAGTGTTTGTCATGATGTTCCCTCGTATACCTTCAGTGTTTGTCGTAATGGTCCTTCATCCACCTTCAGTGTTTGTCATTATTGTTCTTCGTATACCTTCAGTGTTTGTCATTATGGTCCTTCGTATACCTTCAGTGTTTGTTATTATGGTCCTTCATATACATTCAGTGTTTGTCATTATGGTCCTTTATATACCTTCAGTGTTTGTCATTATGGTCCCTCATTTACATTCAGTGTTTGTCATTATGGTCCCTCATATACATTCATTGTTTGTCATTATGGTCCTTCATATACCTTCAGTGTTTGTCATTTTGGTCCTTCGTGTACTTTCAGTACTAGTATTTGTCATTATGGTCCCTCATTTACATTCAGTGTTTCTTATTATGGGCCCTCCTATACATTCAGTGTTTGTCATTATGGTCCTCGTATAGCTTCAGTGTTTGTCATTATGGTTCTTCCTATACCTTTAGTGTTTGTCATTATGGTCCTTTGTATACCTTCAGTGTTTGTCATTATGGTCCTTCGTATACCTTCAGTGTTTGTCATGATGTTCCCTCGTATACCTTCAGTGTTTGTCGTAATGGTCCTTCGTCCACCTTCAGTGTTTGTCATTATTGTTCTTCGTATACCTTCAGTGTTTGTCATTATGGTCCTTCGTATATACTTCAGTGTTTGTTATTATGGTCCTTCATATACATTCAGTGTTTGTCATTATGGTCCTTCATATACCTTCAGTGTTTGTCATTATGGTCCATCATTTACATTCAGTGTTTGTCATTATGGTCCCTCATATAATTCATTGTTTGTCATTATGGTCCTTCATATACCTTCAGTGTTTGTCATTTTGGTCCTTTGTATACCTTCAGTGTTTGTCATTATGGTCATTCGTATACCTTCAGTGTTTGTCATGATGTTCCCTCGTATACCTTCAGTGTTTGTCATTATGGTTCTTCGTCTACCTTCAGTGTTTGTCATTATGGTCCTTCGTATACCTTCAGTGTTTGTCATTATGGTCCTTCGTATACCTTCAGTGTTTGTCATAATGGTCCTTCGTCTACCTTCAGTGTTT